AGTTTCAGCAGCGGCTGAATCTGGATGCCAGTTCCGACTTACATACAGATTCAACTTAAGAACAAACCTACAGTCCCTATCTTGTATGTAACCTGGGGACTGCCTGTATTGCAATTCGTTGCCATTCCTGTGGTTTATCAGCAGCATAGTCTATGCCTTGCCTTGGTATTTAGATATTATTGTTTGTTTAGGGGTGCCTAAGATGTCTTAAAATACTTTTCAGACGTTCGAGATGGGACAGATTCTGCCCTGATAAGCTTATAGTCCAAGGAATATAGCTGTTCTGTTTCTCCCAGGAGAAGACAGTTGCTTATGGGCCTGACAATTTAAAAGGACCTGGGTGTCGCTGTCACTGTAGTTCTGCCAAAAAGCATCTTGACTGAAGGATGCATTTTATATGCCCCATGCAGCTTCTAGGGTGGAGTTACTTGGCCTCGGAATCTCCATGGGGTATATCAAAAGTGTCTCAATCCAAAGATGCTGCTGTGGCCTTCCCCAGAGCAGGCAGGTTGTATCTGGAGGAGGAAGGAATTGTGGCTAGTGCAGGTGTAGGGGACCCGAACTGCTGTCAGCGGGGCTGGATTTTCCTTTTGGTTTGATTGAAATTGGCCTGATGCATAATGAAAAATTTTGCACACTGCGATACATCAGACCCCTCCTCCCCCGCGTGCTCTATACTTGTGCGTGAGTTTAGGAGCGCTCTTTGCAGTACTCAGAACTGTTTTAAACTAACCTGAAGTTTATTACCGACATCTGCAAAAGCAAAGATATTTTGTATTCTGTTAGCCAGGACACAACACATGCTTGGGCTTGTCTCCTTGCATGCATCATGCAACAGTAAGGAGCTTAGATGAGTCAGAATCATAATGTATAAAGCCAGAAGGGACCATTAGCTCATCTTGTCTGACCTTCTGTATGGCAAATTGAATCCAGTTCCCCCATGTATTAAGGCCAGTAAGTTTGTGTTTTGACTGAAGCACAACTTGTTACACATCTTCCAAAAAGCATCAAGACTTGATTTGAAGATGGTAGGAGACAGAGAATCTACCACTTTTCTTGATACTTCGTTTCCATGACCAGCTACTGTACAAAGTGCAGCACCTGATGTTTCCCAAATGCACAGCAGGACACACAACTGAATAGAATGCAAAGTGGGTCTGAAATGCCAAGGCTGGTTTCTACGGCAAATTATGGATCCTCCCCTGCTCCCATTGAAGCCAATGGCATAACTTACATGGTGAATTCAGTGGCAGCAGAAGTAGTCTCTGTCTAGATAACATAAAATAAATACAAAACAGTTGACACCTGGGCTGGCAAGTTGCAAATCGAGTTTTGACGTGGTGGGAATTGAAACGACCAAGATAATAAACCATGGGAAGGGGAGTTCATAATGGAAATGGTAACAGAGTCCTAATTAGAGTACTGCCACTGAAATAAAGACGGGTTAGGAGTTTGGTTGATTGAAATTGAGCTCAGCTGCTTGATTGCTTAATTTCAGGTGAATCCCATCTTCTGTGCTAGTAGTTAAAGCGACACAGTGCAATCCTCTTCACTCCTTCAGGAACATTAGTATGGTCCTCTGCTTCCCAGAAACACACCAGCATGCAAAGTCAGATAAGAGGGCAGGGGTGATGCTGTTGATTTTTTTTTTTTTTTACTTCAGGTATTTCCTGTGTGAGCTCTGTAGAATGTAGATGGAGACAAAAATAACTGATTAGATATTGTAAGAGTTTTGATGGTTAAGCCTTCAGAATTCATGTTTGTATTCTCCTTTATTTAACATTGTTAATCATTATGCCTAATTAAATTGCTGGACAAACCAGAGCCAGCTTTCTTCAAAGTGAAAATCAGAATTAAAATATTGATTTCCCCCTCTCCTCCCCCTTTTTGCAGGAGCATATTTATAGAGAAATATGCTCAATAGTGTTAGTTTTCCTGCAGTGGTCATTTGTTTAAATGTTACATAAAGGCATTTTTGGTAATCAGACAAATTCAGGGGACACTGTAAATCAGGGATGGCTTGCATGCTGCAAAATTGGAAAGTACAAAAATATGTTACTAAAGTTGTACATTATTAATAACAAAAGGTACATGCAGACTTTCAAGATAGCAGAGATAGTACCCTTTAGAAAATCCTTAACGAGAAAAAATCAACACAAAAGGATTTTGCAAACTTACTCTTAGTTTAAAATTTCAACTCTTTATGCATGGCAGAGTTAAATGGTGATTAAATATTGATAACAAAAGTGTAGCTGCACGTAATTCAGGACCCAGTGAGACAATCAACAAATTAATCTTTGGGTCTGAGCTCAGTTCATGCTCCTACATTTTTTCTGCACAGGGCAGAACCAGTAAATGCTGTTCTGCCTTTTTTCTCTCCCCCTAAGTGTGGCATAAAGAGGAGCTAAAAGGTTTCTCTCCCTACTGGATAATACAGTGGGCCACATCATTTTTCTTTCTGGAGAAAAACCCATAGCAGTCCAGATAATTCTTTCCTTGAGTTCCCACCAGCTTGTCTGGCCGGGAAGAGCCACCACTCCCTGAGAGAATGTGTCACCGTGCCATGCCTTTAACGCTCATATTTTTCTCTTCTGCTTTCCCCTGCTGACAACTGCCTACAGAGCTTTCATAAACAGGGCACTATGCAAAAATTAAGGCAGCCTCAAAATATGCTAACTTTTGAGAATGTTTCTTCTTGTTGCTTCAGGTTTGGGAACCTGACAAGCATTAAAAAAACTTGAAAAACAACATTGGTCCTATAGCACCTTAGAGACTAAGGTGCTACAGGACCATTGTTGTTGAAGTTTTTTAGTTATAGACCATCACAGCCCTCTGAGACTGAGCATAGTACATTCATTGCTCTGACCTCATGTCTGGCTCCTGCACTTCATTTACATAATGGCAGCTGTGGCGTTTTTTCAAAAAGCTGCTTTTCGAACAA